AGCTGTACGATCCATGTATCCATGCAGCTGCACTAATATGGAAATGGTGTCCCAGACGCTAGCAAATTACCGAGTGCCAGTTCTCTTTTATGTCAAGTGTGATGGTTCACAAAGGGCGCCATGCTGCAAATGGCTGGAACGTGTCTTAACTGGATGTTGTAGTAACTCAGGTTACATCAGGCGTCATATGGCGAATTAGAGTACACAAAACTTTGAATAGAAAGAAAAAAAGAAGTAAACGAAAGAAACTTCAAATTAGATTCTATAGGGTTCTGACGATTCTGACACTCAGGATTACTAATTTATTGTTGGTTTCGTCCATCGCCCGGTATTCTAAAGAACGTTAAAGAACACGTTTCGGAAACTGGACCCATTTCTGTCCTCAGGAGGGGGGGGACACTTCTGAGTCCGTCAGAAAGAGCTAACCTCAGTCACTCATTCGAAACGTTGTGTTCTTTAGTGTTCTTCAGAATACCGACGCACCAAGACCAAAAACCCAGTAATCCTAAATAAACTTTAACTTTCAGGGCCCCAGATGATAGGTGAGGGTGATTGTGGAGGAAACCGAAGTACTCGGAAAAAATCCTACCCCAGCGCCACTTTGTCCATCACAAATCCCACTTGACCAGACCCGGGATCGAAACCGGACCGCCGCGATGGGAATCCAGCGACTAACTGCTTGAGCTATGGCGCAGCCCTTTATAATTGTTACTTTCATAGTCACGTACCGTCACAACCCAGGCATACAGGCTCACAGTCAGAAATAGGATCATCAAATCCGGAAATTGGACTTGTATGGAATGGTTCACTGATACGAATGTTCTTACATCACGGTGTTTCAAAGTCATTTGGTGTGTGATTTCTAATACAGATACAAACACTATTAGTAATAAGAGTTTTATCTCCTGGGATATAACGCCGTATTGCCAGTCGAAAGTCAATTGACGTTTCGGAGGAACATGTCGACTACATTTTCAGGGTAGAAGAACGAGCCAAGAAAGAAACCTAGTTTGCTGTCTGCTTCACACAGTGGTTTAAACTGAAACCAGGAACAGGTACGACACAAAAACAAACGTCCACACGGTAAGTATATAGCCCACTGTAAAGAAAAAAACTCCGTGGCTTGAGTCCGCAAGCGAACTATAGCGACCGAGCGACCGCCGCTTGTCGGCGAAGTTAGTAAAGAAAAAACTCAATCACGATGTCATATTCAAGAAGACATAAAGAAACATATACAAACTGAAACTAATGACATTATATGTGAATAGCTCCAAAAATATACTGTAATACAATAGCGAACCCCGGATGATAAAACACCACCTACAATACGCGACAATATAACAAAATTGTACATGATAATGACGAGAGAATTTTAAATATTAAAAAATAAATTAATAATATTTTTACGACTTTGTAATAGTTACATGTATTATATGATTAACACTAATATGGATCCACATTAGGATATTTCAATAACATGATAAGTACGAGTATTTAATGAAACTGCCTGAAGATGGTCGTAAATGTGGACCGAAACACGTATCAATTATTAAATAAAACCGGTGTAAACAATTAGATTGATTTACTTTTTACTGCCGTGTTGACGGCTAGGATATAACAAATCATGATACACAACAGGATGCAAACAGTAAAGAGAATCAGACGTAGGCCTGCAAGGAGGCGGGGTCTTGTGTCATCTCTCGCGGAACCTCTGACGGACGAAGATACGGCAGGGACTGAATGTGTAAGCATAATACCACGTTTGCATGTACAAGAGCACTAATGGTCCGCATGATAAAGTTCCCGGTTGACGTCTACAGCAGATGTCTTAGGAAAACATTCACAATTACATCAGCGCAACTTAAAAGAAAGTCACATGGTAATGAGAACTGAACGTGCTGCGGCATTAATTATTCACGACTAGACGCCACTAACAGCAGCCAGTACAGCAGAGGCACTGCTGAAGGCCAAGCCGTGCTACTCCCGGGTTCTAGGTTCGTCTACGAACGCTGGTATCCATTATGAAAGACGCAAATTCTTCATTTCTTGAGGGGTACACAATGGACAGGAGGCTGGGTGGGTTCCAGAGCCAGTATGGGCGTCGTCGAAAAGAGAAAACCCTCTTGTCCCTGCCGAAAACTGAACCCTGATTCCTTGATCGTCCAGCCCGTACTTTAGTCATTATGCCAATAGAAATTAGCCCAGTGGCAAATGGTATACAATGGGTGGAAGAGTGGAGAGCTCTATAAAAAGTGGCCTAGACATCATAAACGTAGCATGAACCTCGCCTGAAGCGACCTGGTCCTCTACGTGGGTGGTCAGATAGAGATCAGTATTAAGTACACGCAAGATTTGAAGTTCTCACGGCGGTGACTATGAAGAAAGCCGTCTTCTGGGATGTGGCGCCGTGTAGATATTGTGTTAACTGACGTTTCGGAGGAACGTATCGCCTACATCTTCAGAGTAGAAGAAAAAAGAAAATCCGAGAGCGAGGAACCATCGTGAACCGGTGCTGACAGACTAATGTCGAATCGAATAAACCCAGTATAAGATATTCTGTAGAAAGAAAACCTTCATTTGGGAGCCGGATTCTGAAGCTCTTCTTAGTCCATTCACTAAAATTAAACTAAATAGGAAACCAAAGCTTCATTTCTCATTGTTTAATATTCGCCGCGAACCACACAGAGAAGCCGGGATAACTCAGTCGGTATAGTGAGGTGCTGGACGACCTGGGTTCGATTCCTGACAGGGGAAAGAAAATTTTCTCTGCTGCATAGTGTCTAGACCGGCTATCGGGCTCATAGAGCCTTATATCCAATGGGCACCAAGGAAGCTCTTTTTCCAGCGGCCAGGGTATGAAGCTGACCACTCACCTCCATCCACTGCCGAGGTCAAGAATGGTGGAGCTATTCCTCCACTCCCAAACATGTCTTCATAGCGTGGTGCTTAATGAATTAAACACAAGGATAACTTTGCCTTTTTATGTTACGAACTGTGCTGCTGATAAAGCATAAACATGGAATGATCAGACTATTTAAACAAGCGCTCCCGCGCAGAAAGATATGCAATTTCGTAATCTACCCGCGTCTCGCCACAGTGGGTGCTATAAAACGTACAAAGTTCACGTACCGATGAGAAAATAAGTTGGCTTGGACCCGAACCCGTGCACGCAGAAGCAAAATTAACGTTTTCCGGGCTCTGTTTCTCCATGACGAATACCCTTTGTCTTCAGCAATTTTCCTGCGACCCTACCGGGACTCGAACTACGACCGCCTGATCGTCCAGCCCATAGCCAATCGCTATCCCGGATCCCCATACCGGACGATGTGCAAAGTTTTAAAAAAGCAGTATTCCCCAGTGTTTTAATTTTTAATTCGCTTAGTGGGGGGTGGAGTCCACCTGGGTCCACTCGGCACGGCGGCCACTGATTGGCCTATTGTTGCCTGCCCCGGGTGATTATGATGATGGAAAATTTGGTGGGATGAAGATTGGCAGGGGAAACCGAAGTACTCGGAGAAAACCTGCCCCAGCGCCACTCTGTCCACCACAAATCCCACTTGACCAGACCCGGGATCGAACCTGGGCCGCCGCGGTGGGAAGCCAGCGACTAACCGCTTGAGCTACGGCGCGGCCTAATCCCGAGTGTTACACGCCATCGACAGAATTCTTTAGAATCTAATTATAATTTCATTATCTTCTACATGCACAAGCTTACTCTGAGTGGGCTCAAAATAACGGCATTCAATGGGAATACTGAAAAGTAGAAATGTGGGTTTACGGTACCAATAGCAAGCTGTTTTGGTACCACGATTTGAGATACGCCGTTGGCAAGATTTCGGCAGACCTACTTGGTTACTAGATCGGTCAATACAGACGATTCTACTTACACTGGACAAACATGGACATATATCCTGGCCCCAAATGGGATTCGAACCCACGATCAAAGACATTAATACCTTTAAGAAAGACAAGAACCCTTCATGCACAGAATCTAACATTTTTATTAATTATATGGAACCATAAATTCGATTAAAACATTCCGTAGCCTGTAGTCCGCAAGCGAAATATACCGACCGAGTGACAGCCGCTTGTCAGCGAAGTTAGTGCCAACTTTTGAGGATAGAGCGTGTCACGTGGTCAGTGCAACGATTCCTCACGGTCGTTAATCTCGGTTCTTTAGACCGGAGCCTCTACTTTTCCATTCACGTAGCTCCTCAATTATCCTCACGAGGCTGAGTGGACCCAGTTCCAGATCCGCTACTTTTCAGAAAATCTGGGAACTGAACCCGGGACCTATGGATATGTAGCCAGGAGCTCTGATCACTTGACCACAGAGGCGGTCACCATACATTCGATACATTTCAAAATTCAGTTTACATCTCAATAAACACACAATTTCCCGTACAAAGATCGCATGATGAATGCTGTCACTGTTTATTCTGAAGGTCTTCAAAATCCATATAAGCACTGTGCAGGAAACGCGCGAGTTCTTAATGTTAAAGCATGTGGGAAAGTACAAATAGTAGCGCTATCCCTGTAGCAGGCCGCGGAGGCCCATAGGGTTGTCAGATGTTGAGGCTCCCACATTTTCTAGACAATCGGCTCAGGTTTTCAGCCTTACGCGCCGGCCGCCCTTTACCCCCACGAATAGTCCCGGTACTCATCTGTTAGAGGCTGAGTCGACTCCAGGATGTGGTACAGACAGTAACCAACGTGCTTTAGAGAGATATAAAAGAACTGGTTGGATTCATTTCAATGCTTCATCTATTAAGTTACACACATTCCAGAAATGTCTCGTTTCAAACGCGCAGGTATTTCTCTCATCAGTAGTACAGGTGGGGCTCTAAGCAAGTAAATTACATAGGACTCCAGATCGGCTTGCCAATCACACTGAAAACAAAACCACATTACATTCAGTTAAAAATATCGTAATCATATGTTACTTAATAAGCAGCTTCTATGACCTCAACGGAAACAAAAAAAAATGTTATCCTAGACAAGTAACAGTCTCCGGACGCGTGAATCCATTTAACGCGTAACACTGAAAACACATGAACACAAAGAGCCGGACTGCTCGGCGAACAAGGTCCAGGCTCAACGTAACGCGAAGTTAACAGTGTCCGTGGTAGCGCAGTCGTGCAAGCCACGCGTGAGCACAGCATGGCCGACAGACGTACAAGCAGGACAGCGGCAATTTCAGGTATTTATACACGTTAGACATTTCTTCCGTACTGAATCATCATATTTATCAGCACCATTCAACGTTACGGATATAAACCAAAGGTGAGTCATGGTAATTACACTTTGTATCCGGTGTAACGTTGCGAGATATGGCAATCTTCATATCGCCGTGCAGACTGATAAGTATATTATTTCCCCATTTCTATCAGACTTCCCCAAATTAGGGAACTCAATGATCAGTATTAAAGTTTAGATCAGAAAGGAAGCGATACGCAAGACATGCATAAACACATACCAAATTTTGATTGGAAAATGAAGGGGAGAGACCCCTCAAGGGGCCCAGGGGTAGATAGGAGTATGACACAGCACAACAAATACGCTCCTTTTCGATAAATGTATAAAATAAGCTGTCTGTAACTAAAACATATATACTGATGATAATCAAAAAGCTGGAACACGCGATTTCTTTGTTATTGTCTGTTCTTTTGTGTGTAAGATCATGAACGTCAGGAAATTTGTTTACAAACTTATGTTACGCCGTTCAAGATATTTTTTTTTTACGGGTCGGATTAGAGCTGAGGGTTTTTATGTGGAAATACACCTGGCGCCACATCTAAAAATAATTATAATTTTCGCGATATTAATATTCAGTAATTTCCTTCCTTTTTCAATTTAAATTCTTAAACAAAAAACAGGGGACAGTAGATGCCTGGCTTGCCCCGTATCCCACGTGCACGACATACATAGTACGTACCACTTACTACACAGTTTACATATATGATGTTACTTAAAGGAGAATAAATTATCATTCACTATTGATACAATTTTTCACATTATGGTTGATAAACATTATAAGAACACCAAGAAACAAATATAGAAGTGCAAAAACCGCGCTGTTTTGGATCAAAGTTCAGTAGAAAAAACTGTCACACAATAGATTTTCTTTGTATACATGTTTATAATCATCACATCAGAATAAACATAAAAAAATCTGTTTCCTTTTACGTTAGCGTAACCTTGGTGCTTAGTCGAATACGTGTTTTTATTTTCTCATTCAAAAACAAGTCTCGCGCCACTCTCTCTTTCGGTTTTAGAATCAAGGTCGAAGCATACAATGCGCTGGTTGTTGTGCCATTTTTGACAAGTATGCCGATATGCGAACAGGCGCATACCCGCTGAAAAACGCAGTCGGTGTAATTATTGCAGTGAGTCTCGTGTAAATACAGAGGTATGCATACAGTGTCAAAGCATGGATTCCATTGATTTAATGGGGTGAAGAGACCGGCGTTTATGAACACGGTGATAAACCTTCGGCTTCCATCAAAACACGAATTTCCTTGGCCAGTTAACAAGACTGTTCAGTAACACGCTGTGTAATTTTTTTT